TGTTAGGCGACTTATGGTAGTTTACTAGCATGCTCTCCCCAGAGAGAGGCGATAGTTTCAACTACGGGAACATCGGTAGTGGTACGGAGAGGCAACGGGTTAACCTGTTTGGTGTCCCGACCTCTTCCAAATCGATAAGCCGGCGTCTCGATCCAACTTATGCTGCGTCCTCACTGGCAAAGGGCGCGGTCTCTTTTTCGGTCAGGGGCACATGCGTCGATACGTGGTAATTATTACCGTTTTCTTACATTTACTCCGTACGTGTTAAGCTGGTTACACAAATTTGATGAAGGTTCCTCTCGTCGAACAAGAGCTGGTTACTCACCTCTTCGCCTCACCGGCAAATGTATCCGGCTGGATCAGTTTTGGTTTCCAGAGCAAAAATTTCCTCTCTTGAGCGCTCCTTGGGATAATTTCAGATTGAAGTTGAAAATGCAAGTGTTTCCATTTATTTTATGCTTTAAGGAAACCATAGAAAAAAAGAATAATTTGTTCTAAATTCTGCCACTTCAGCTCTTTCTTAAAAATCTTTTGAAACTTTTCCTAATGTCAGTCTTGTTGATTTCCCGGACAGTTTGGGAAAGCCTGTTCATAACACCTCTTTTTGGACCCCCAATCCATCGGTTCATTATTTTTCCATCCAGTTAACGAAGGCTTCTCACTGCTGGAAGTTTAGGGTATTCCATTCTAACTAAAGCATTCCCCTCTCGCTCTATTCCTTAATAAATACTCCGTTAAATTTCTGTGCCTCCTTTCTTTGGTGTGACAACTTGCGGTCTTTTGTTCCCACTTCTCGCACAGTGTGCACATGTTCTGTCAGAAACTGCCTAGAGGCCCGTCTTTCCTCCCTCCTGCCACCGAAGGAGTTGCTGGTGCAGCTCAAAGAACAGCAGGAGGCTAAGCTGGAATTGGAAGAGGAGGAGGGGGCGGCTTACTTTGATCATAGCGTTGACGCCACCCACGCCGATCTAGCCGACTCTGCCCTGGACACCCACCAGCA